CTAAATATTGTAGTAATGTACTTTATACATACTTTAGTAGACCAGGTGAATGACTTCGTATTGAATAATTGAATCTACATAAGTAATTAATCAAAAGAAAAATTAACCACTAAAAGGTATTAAATCAAATGTATAGAATCATATAACTTGAATCATACTTACCGTTTTTATATCAACTAGATGTGAACTATCTTTTAGTGGCAGTTCCGTCCACCAATATAAATTATTTCAGCAGATGGTAATAATAGAGCGGCATAAGCGATACGTGGAAGAGGAACGTTATGGAATATATTTAATGTTGACCATTTTAGAGAAGCAGTATCAAGCATATGCATATCATTATACCAAGTGGCTATTGCTGAATTACTGTTACTACTAATATTACTATTCTTTCCTCCAAACATGAAAATTTTTCCACCATAATCAATAACTGCCTGCATATAGTAACGCGTTGTAAAAGAGTTATTATAACCAATGATGTTACATGTAGAAGCATAACTATTTGCTATAGGCATCTCTCGATCTTTATGCCATGGGGGCGTAGATACATTAAATGGGCCTGATAGATCAAGATACCATACTTCGTCGTTTGTAAGATTTAGTCCACTATATCCACCAAAAAAATACAATTTGTTATTAACTAACGAAGCGGCCTGATGACTTTTAGAATTAGGTAAATTATTGCAAATTACAAATAAATTTACATAACCTAATATAAGAAAAAAATAAAAAATATTTTTGATAAAATTCATATTTGTTATTATATTTTAGAAAGCAAGACTTTTCCTATTGAGGAGGATAAAGACCTGGCATAAACAAATTACTCTTTTGTGAATATTAAATATGCACAAGTATTGTGAAAATAATATTGTGGTGTAAAAAATTTTTATTTTATAACAGAATACATATCAAATATATTTGTACGCTTCGAAAAGTAAAACAAGTATAAATACACAAAAATAAAGATATTAATATTAGAACCTTGGGTTAAAAGTTATAGAAAGTCTTTTTTTCCAATGCAAAACTCCATTTCTTGATTTGAACAGAGATTTAAATCGTTCATTTTCTTATATTTCTTTCGATTTGCGCAAGCGTTAAATAAGAGTGAATTCACGATAAACCATTATCTGTTAATGACTTCAGACGCACGTACTACTTACAATACGTACGTACGTAGGTAATATTAGGCTATTTTTCTTTATAGCATGCATATGCAGTGCACAAAATTTCCGAGTAATGTAACATGCTTTTTGCCGGAAAATCGGAGTTTAGATATAATGACCAATGAAATTATCGAACGTAAATTTCCAACTGATAAAAAGTAAAGCCGGAATTGGTTAATTAAACGGAAATATCCGGGTACAGTAATTTTTGTGCTCTGTGCATGTATATTGTGATCGAAAGTTCAAAGATTGTGTTATTGATACAAGTAATAGTTCATGCTATGGTTCAAAAAGTGAAAGTTAAAAAGTTTTTTAGATCAAAATGTGTATGTGACGACACTGTAACACTAAGACAAAGAAGAACGTAATAAACGATCTTTATAATTATATCGTGCAAATAATTTATTAATAAAAAATTTAAATTTATCTCAATTTCATCTTTTTTCTTATCGATTTCTTTTATTTTTATACGTGAAACACCATTTTTATTATTCATAGATTTATCCACCTTATTTCCTTGACCATTGTACTCGATTAGAACTAATCCTAATTTTTAGAATTGATTCTCCAGAATTAATTTAAAAATCGACTTTGATTTGATTATTGATTATAGACTCCCATTCTTACCGTATAAGCGCGAAATAACGCCTAGGGGGTGCAATTTCGAATTTTGGTCTAAATTAAGCTTAATTCGGGCCATTGCTCAAAATTATGCCCCTGGACGCTTATACGGAACATATACAAATATTTATAGCAATTACGTCTAATTAAAATTAATAATAACTGGCTGAGAGAACGATACATGCTTCAGCCGCAGCATTGAATTATATAAATTGAATGATATATATAATTTGAATCCTAATTTTAAGTAAAAGGTTACAACTACTAAAAACTTTACTGATTATGCGTCAATACGGTAACTTCTCGTAATAGAGAATTTATTAGAACGAGACTAAAATATCAATAAAAATCAATGTATTTTCTATTATTGAGATTAATTTTTATTAAAATAAACATTTATATGGGATCTTAAAATCATTAAGGTAGGATAATCCAGATTTATAATAAAAGGGAAAGATCATATTTTTAATCAAAAAACAGTATGGAATATAATAGATAATTATACCTATAAATTAAATAAGTAAGCATAGGATAATTATATGTAGGTATTCATACCTCCAGGAGTTGCAATAGAGTAACGATGTGCTTTTCGTTTTTTATGGACAAATATTCCAACAATTCCAGCAATTATTCCTATTAAAATAATACCGGCTAAACCAGCAATAATTCCAATAATCAATGGAGATGATAATGATGTTGATGTAGGAATTTCAGTACTGGTTGAAATTGGAGGTTTGCTTATTGTTGCTGTAGTAACCCAGCTATAGTTTCTTATATCAAGGATATAAATGCGATTATCAATTTCCGGGGATAATGAGGATGTCAGAAAACCTAAATGTATAAATATAGAATATTGTCTTTAATATTCATTTTATGAAATAATAAAAATAACAATATAGTAATTACCAAATGCGATGATCATATAATTGTCATATATTGTTGCAGAGTGTAATTCGAGTGATGGAGGAGCATCTTTCTGAGCAATATTTGGAATAGACCATTCCCAAGTATTTATATTCAATACCGCTAAATCAGGAGATACTGGTGTATTATTTTTTG